GGGCAGAGCTGCAGAAGACTGTGCATGGCAACACTGGGGCTCGGAGGGGGCCAGAGCCCTCCAAGCCCCCCCACAGCACCGCTGCTGCCACACTCCACAGCAGCTTTCCTCACCACGCAGCACAGCCCCCACACTGGGAAGAAGCTCATGCTCGGGGAAATCATCAGAGGGGCTGTTGCCCCCATCATGGTCCCTCCCCACTCGCTGCTCCAGCAGCAAGGCAGGAGCGGGGCTAGACACTGGCTACCAGGGTCCCTTGGGGGTAGAGGCAGGGAGCAGGGTTATTCCCCCCTCTGCTTCCAGAGGACTGCAGCAGGGTCTGCCTACCTTGGCCACTGCCACTTGCTCTGTGCTTGGAGCAAGTGTCAGAATAAGCCCCCTCCCTCTGGTATCCGGTGAAGAGGGCTTATTCAACTACTTGCCATAAGCAGGGAACAAGTGGTGGCAGCAGTCAGGCCATGCAGACCCAGCTGCGGTCCCCCAGGGGTAGAGGGGGGATTAACCCCCCTCCCTGCCCCCTCTGCCTCAGGGCCTGCAGTGAGGAGGGTGGGGTGCTCAGCAGACCAGGTTCGGACCCCTGCCAGTGGGACAGGGAAGGGGGAACCAAAGTTTCTGGTTTTATTTATGGATGTTAACAGTTCTCTGCTCTAAATATCTTGATTTCCTCTGCTGTATGCAAATAGCCATTTTAATTTCCCACTGCTTGCTGACTAAGCCAGAACAGACATTGCCTGCATGAATTTGGCCCTCCTCCAGACCAAGCAGATAAGCATGCCAAATATTAACTAGGGTCTAACTTGAGAGTGATGGTAGGAGACAGACCTGCTTACATCCAATAGGAGATGACAGCTGAACTGCACATCAGTGAAATCTCTATAACAAGAGGAGTTAAGAGAAAATTTGTCAAATGTATAAATGAAAATTAAGGCAAGACTCTCCTGGTTGTCAAACTTGATATGAAAGAATTCTTTCATGTTATTCAAGATTAAAAATAATTAAGTTAGATATTTTATAGATCACTTCATCCTTCAGAAACTGCCAAAAACCTAATGAGGAATGCAGGCCTCTAATAGACTTAAGTAGAAAAGGACAGGCAAGCACTCAAAAATCACTGGAGAGATAGATGAGTAATTAAAAAGTGTAGCCTTATTACAGTTGTTAAAAGCTTTGAATCCTCCCTTTTATACTGTATTGACTGATCTGACAAGTAAAAGGTTCAAATCACCAATTCTCTTATGCCAAGAAATACGCAAGAGTTACAAACAGTGCCCTAGACAAAACAGAAAAGAGGAGACAGTCACTTGTGGAGAGGACCATGGAAGTCAGCGTCATTTAGAAGAACAACACTGCTCTACAGAAACTGCCAAAACGCTGCCATATCAATACATACTGCTGCATTTTGAGAATTACAGTTGAACACTAAAACATTTAAAGCTACTGCAGGCCCTAATACAGGTATATTACTATACTTGAAAAAGCGCAGTATTTCCTTCTTGGCTGACCAGCTGGTGTAATACCCCAGCTAGATTTCTCTGTTCTTTAAAGCCACAAACTGATCTTTTTAAAGAACGAAAAATACTAATTAATACCAGATGCTCATCCTGCTTGAAGAGTTTGATATCTGGCATATCATAGGTACAAGAACCCTACAGACTATAAATCTAATTTCTACAGCTTAATTCACCCAATGTCTCTGAAAATATCAGGCTGGTTTTTTTTACTTCACTTCTGGACAAGAATCTTTATTCACTACTGCTCCCCAGAAGATGGAGTGCAGCCAGCAAGAGTAAGTTACATCCAATTACCTTCCCCATACTTTCTCAAATATTAGTGCCAACCTAAAAATGAATCAGACAGGAGTTAAAACTGATCAAAACCTGTTTGCACCCATATCTAACCCTGCCTGGGCTCAGCCAGTATAAAACAGAACAATAGCTAAGGAAGTTCTGGCTTCCTAGTTAAAGAATACATTTCCCCCCTTCCAAGCACAGGGAAGTAACACATATAAATCTTACTTTGAACAAGGTGATATACATTAGAGATTTAATTAGGTACAGGTTTCTACGAGACACATCCCAAAGGTGCAAATGTGAAAGGAAATGCCCTGAAAAACGTATAGGCTTCATTGTTAAATTGGAGCTCCAAAGAAACAGACAACAAAGGCAGGAAACTACAGTAGTGTTAAATGGAACAAACCTGGCATTAATTCTGTTACTGCCTGTAGATGAACCTTGAAAGACTGTATTACATTAAAGGGAAACTTCATTCTGTTAAGGGTCTAGTATTCAAAACTAGTAGCAGGTGCTTATGGGCTAGAGATAAGAAAGAGAGGGGACACCGCCACAGTTTGCTGATAGAAACCAGTTCTGCCTGAAGAAGTGATTACTTTAAGTTACTTCTTCTGCTGATCATTTAATTTAAGTTCAATATTGCTGGAAGAGTTGAACAATTTAGTCAAGCAACAGCATACGTACAGCTATTCACTGTATTTTTTAACTGGAGGATACTTTATTTTGAGTGTATAAAGTTAACATCTAACAAATTTTAATGTTTGGAAGTACAAGCCTGCTCCAGAGTGACATGCTGAAAGATGCGTTTTGTGCTGCCATTTCTTCCACCTGTTTTGAGATGCAGAGTCAATAGATAAACATGATCAATATAATATGACAGCATTTGTCTTACTGAAATAGTACGTAAATTCTTTAGCCAAGTGGTACATTGACAACCTATTTTTCAATCTCTCTCTCCTTACACTCTGCTTTCTGCATGTCTTTTCACAGCATCTGATGAGGTGAACTCGGGTTCGCAAAAGCTTGTACTCATATTCATGTACTATATGAAGGCACACCTTAGTGAGTCTATCAAGGTGCACATCTATCCTGCCTTCTGACTGACTTTTGACTAACATGACTAACTTCTCTCAACACTAATCTTCAGCTGCAATACGTACCAGCAACAAAACAAAAAGAGCTTTTCTTCCCTGTCCCTCCTCCTCTTCTTTTAAAGAGATGCAGATATCTTTAATTGGTTACTGCATTATTGACATGAAGTGGTCATCATCCTCTCTCCCTTATCAATGAAGCAAATCAAAATATTGAGACAGACACCAAACTCCAACATACAAGTTGGAATTGGTAATGTTTTATGTACTTGATTGGCAGTGCACAGGCAAGATTGAGATGAGCAGGTAATAAGTAGTTTCACCTCAACTACAGACAGTATTTTAAGAACTAAAGTTTCCAAAAGGTATTTTTCAATTTTTATGATAAAAATCCTGAAATTAAAATCTAAATGATAACATTGTCCCACTATCCTTTAATACAGCCAAGTACTCTACCCCAGAATTCGTTTGGCTTTTTGGAGGTATTGAAACTGTTCATCTAAAAACAAACTGTTTGGTGGAATATATTTTTAAATTCTTTCTTAGGCATTTTGAAACAATAATAATAAATGTATCCAAGTGGCCAAACTAATGATCATGAGCTAAAATAGTAAGGGAAAAATCTCTCTCTGCTCATATGGCTCGATAAGTATCAGTCCCTTTACACAACTATAAAAATGGTACTTGGCACAGCTTGTTCATGCTATCTCTGACTTGCGGATCAGCTGGGGATTGAGGAATCTAGAGCCTGTTTAGCTGATCACCTTTTAACCTGCATCTATCTCGCCGCTGGAACAGAACACCAACAGGTTTCCCCTCTGCAACTGTACTGTGTATAAATGCACACTCCACTCTCACTTGCAATTGATGTGCCAGAAATACACTTTCAAGTCTGCACTTTAGACAAACCTATGAACAGACAAGTCAGCATTTCCACTGTCAATCTTGCACATTACACTGACACCACAGGGACTGTTATGGAGTTTCTTTAAAATATGTCAGCCAAGTTTTAATTTAACATGTCTGCTCATATGTCATATCAAGCACTATGTAGTTTAGGCTTTTTCAAATAGGCCTAATAAGATACAACTTTTCTTACATTAGGTCTGAGAAAAATATCTTTTTATTAAAAATACTTGAAACTTGAGATTTTTTATGTAAAATCATTATTGCATTTAAAATCACTAACTGTCTTCTGTAAGCTAGCACTGAGAAAACTAATAAAAGGGACTTTGCTAACACTGTCAGGTAGCATTAAGGAGTTTCTATAAATCTACATCAGAAACTTTGAAACAGCAAGGAAGAGAATGTGAATTAGCACAAAGTTTTTAGAAGGTTGTATTCACCTTTTTAGCATAGAGCTGAGAGGCACAAGAGATTCACAATTAGGGAGATACAACACTGAGTGCCTTGAGATCCTTTTAAGGGTACCTCAATGTGCCAAGCACACTGTTAGGTGTGCAAACATGTTTCAGAAAACAAACCCAGAGATTTAAAATATGAACTCAGTGCTAAAAACAGTGATCTGTTGTTATCTGAGCTCTCTGTTACAGAAGAATTACTATTATTTTTCTGTTGTCTAAAAACAAGTGAAAACTAAAAGCTAGCACTTTCTAAGGGGCACCTTGAGTCTAAAAAGGTTGAACACCATTGAATTAGAGGTCTTCAAGAAACATCTGCAATATTCACTTTTCCACATAATCAGTGTATAGTCAATTACATATTATATACAGAGGAAGCCGCTATTTAAAATAAATAATTAACTTTTGAAATGCAGCCATTAGGAGTTTGCCATCTGGGCAGATTTTTAAGATCATTAATGAAAACATATCACTGAGCACAAGCTCTGGCTTTAGATGGGATTGTTCTTTGTATATGAAATATGCGTGGAACAGAATTTAGGTGGAAGGAGAAGGCTTATATTTAGTATATGTGTATTCTCTTCAACTATACAGAAGCCATAGCTCCTTAAATGTAATCTGAGACCAACATGCCTAAGGTAGTAGAGCTGGTGGAGCACTAAACAAACATATCTGTCAAGCACTGGTTTCCTTCTAGCTCTAAAATACAGTACAAACAACAGGAGAACTAAAGCAATATATTGATTTTCTCCCCTTACCAGTTTCTGAGCTTCTGGACTCAAACAGTCTGCTTCCGATTGCATGGCTGCAGTTTGTTATTCAAGTTCAGAGTCTCTAAAGTTCACTCACAAAAAAGGAAATAATATATCCTCACTGCTACTTGCTAGTTTTCTGCTTTTATTTGCTTAATCTCCAAAGAAAGCATTTGCTCCAACTTTTTTCCAAAAAAAAAAAAAAAAAAAAAAAAAGTAATGACCCCGTCCTTCTCAAAAATCCTCAGGCTTTTGTCGTCAGTGAAAACAGATCTTATTCTGCAGTGTCACCCAAGTCTACAGAGGGGAGTGGTTAAAATGGAGGGCGAGTCCCACAGGTGATTTAGTGAGCAACTGATAGAAGACAGCATGCTAAAAATAAAATAGTGTTTCTATATCCTCTGCAGAAAAATGAAAATATGCACATTTCCTCTAACAAAAAACTTTCAGTTCCTGAAGTTTATTTGCATGGAAGTTTCCACCTCCTCTATCCAGCAGGAGAAGTGCTGGGAGAGGCAGAATAGTAAAGTTTGACTTCCAGTTAGTCAGTGATTGCAGTTCTGAGTCAGCAAATAAGCATATGGTTAAAAAGGTGAGGAAAGTTCCTGCGTTCACAGTCTCAACTACATGCAGGATGGTGGATCTGAAGCTCTATCAACTACAAAATTGCTGACAAATCTCCCAATTTCTATTGGCATAGTCATAGCCAATAGAAAGACACCAGAGAAAAAATGCACAAAAAGCAGGATGTGCTTCTTACTTTAATGCTGTATGTCACTTTTAGAAGGCTGTCACTGCTTCCACGTATTAACAGTACAAATACCAAGGACTCTTGTGCTGCTTTTATGAAGCAGCTGTCCTTGCAACTACTAATACTGCTAGTGTAATGACAATACTCCTTTAAGGGGTTTATACTGAGAAAATCCTGAGTTCCACTTGAAGGCTGAATGGTTATTTGCACGTTACCCAACTTTTCACAATGCAAGGGGAAAATAAACCTAAAACAATGGAGGTTAAGTCTAAGAATAGAAGTTGCACATAAATCAGTTTAAGTCATCAGAAATTGATTTAAACCTGTAATAGAACAGAAGTTTACACAAGTGTACACAAACCAGTTCCAAAATGGCTGAGACTGGTTTCAGATAAACAGACTTAACTGTTTTGGGTCAAACCGGTTTATGAAACTTCTGTCCCAGACCACTTCCTGGTTCAAGTTAAATCACAGTCCCCCAATATCCTAGCATGCTTTCTAGCCCTGGGCTGGGCTATGCTGTCTGCTCCAGCAGAGAAGGGTCAGGGGGGAGGGGAAGAGGGAGAGGGAGATGGGGACTGCCCCCCCCCAGGCAAACCCCAGCTGAGGTCTGGGGCTAGGGAGTAGGGGAGGTTAAACCTCCCCTTCCCCAAGTACAGAGCTGCTCTGCCTTGCTAAATGTATTGGAACTTAGTGCTGGCTGAGACTGTGGACCACAAATCCCAGAGGCACCTGGAAGCAGGAAGAGGAAGTGGTGAGCAACCCTGCAGAGTCCTGCTGCTTTGATTCTGGACTGTAAATCACAGAGACCTTGGGGCCAGCAGGAGGAGGAAGCAAGCACACAGCCCAGCTGTCTATGTGCCAGACAGCCATGCTCTAATGCCCTACAGCTTCTGGCCTGAGCCACTACAAGCATGTGTCTGCATTTCCTGAATCAAATGTCCAGTTGTTTCTCGGTTTAATCTCTGCAGCTTAGACTAACCTGCAAAGATTGAATCAATTCAGCTTTGGGCTTTTTGACTTAGGCAAATTGAATACCCTAACTAAATACCTATCAGCAATGGAGGTTACCAGGTGGCTACTCTACGTGCACTGAAAGCTTATACTGAAGCTTACTTTAGAGGCTTCTTACATGCATACATTTATGCATGTAAACTAGACAGACAGATGCCTACTATACATCTTTGATAGTCCAAGATAAACAGGGTGCTACTTTGGTACAATTACCAATATTGTGCTTGATTTCTGCAGATTCAAGGAAAAAAAAACAGGTAATCAAGTCTGAGAACAACAGCTGTGTTGTTGCTCTACAATGGTTAAATAACAGCTTTATCCACAATGCCTATAAATGGAAACACAAGGCAAGAAGCAAGGGCACAGAGTGTCTAACTTAAGTTGCATCAAAATGTGGGCAATGCAGATTAGAGATGAGGATACTGCCACTGTCAGAGCCCCTTAGCCACAAGCAATTTTCATGGCATTCTAAAAATCACCGAGTACTAAACCAAAAAAACAACAAAAAGTTAGATTTTGTTCACTGGATTAAATTAATTTCTTCAACGTATAAAGCAGGAATAAAACAGTGTAGTCCTTTTTCTCTCAAATCCATTTGAAATTTCTATGGTGTGCCAATTCTGGTTTAGAGATTTTACTAATTATTATTTTCATCAGCACTCTTAATTGACAGGACTGAACATATTTTGAAAAGACTGTGTAAAGTCCCCCAGCAAACCAACAATATTTTGAGATCTATAATAAAATAGCAGTGATTTATACACAACAGATAAAATCTTAACTTCAATCTACAGCAGAAATCCCACTGACTTCAGTAAGGCCTGGATTTCATGACTTAAGCGCATGCATGCTGACAAAAAAAAAAAATAATAATAGTAGTCAGTGGGATTACCAAAGCTACCAGACCTATTTTAGGTGCTCAAGTTTTGTAGGTTTGTGTTAATAGAGCCTTTGTTTCTTGGCACCATTTCTTATGCTGTGCAGACAAGCAAAATAGATTGTTACTTAGTAACCAAACCATTATGTTCCTGCCAGGTCAGCCAGAAAAGGTTAGGGAACCTAGTGCAAGCCGCACCTAACAATTGAATTCAATTTTTCCATAAACGCTGAGACTATTACCAGGCCCCACAGGAGGAAGCCATATTGTCATATTGGCAGAGCATGCTGTTCCCATAGCTTTGTCTGTGTAACTGGCAGAATGCTTTAACTCATTTTGAAACACATGGCACAGCATTACATTCACAGGCTAGTACTTCGATTTTGTTCATTGATAGTCGCTGGATGCCAGCCATGCTGTATTGCTCCAACCAGGCCACACACATTTTAACAAGCTTTCTTGTACAAATAGGCTTTGGGGATGCATGTTCTCTGAAATTCTTTTTATAAGAAAACGTTTTCTCAAAAGTGGAGCTTTGTTTTTACATAAAAGACCAGGCACAGTTCTCGAAAAAACTGTTTTCTTCAACTTGAGAAACTGCACAAATTAATTTTAGCATTCCATCACTGTCTTGCCTAGCTTATATGATCCTATTCTTCTTCCTACCCTTGGTCTACAAGAAACTTGAATCTTACACACGGATCCCTGCATTTGCCGTCCTTGATTTTACATTCCAGATTTGAAAGAGATTTTAAACCTCGATACACTAGTGTAAAACTCACCATCTAACTATGTTGCAAGCTGTTCAGTAAACTTAAACAAGTAAAATCAAACACTGAAATTTTTTTCTCCAACTTGCATTTGTCTTCATTAAGGGCCCAGTGGAACTCAGAATTTTATCTTGCAGATAGCACTGAGCTAAAAAGATTGAAACACTGACAAAAGTGCACACCAAAACAGCATAGAAAAACCAACTGCTGTGCCTGCAAATGGTTTAGAAAACTACAGCTACCAAGCATTTTTGGTAATGGTGTTCTTCAGCTACTATATTCTCAGAATTTTTCTGTGTTCCTATGAAGGAGACAAGATAATGTCTCCTTTCTCTTTCCCATTTTGCTGCTCTAGTAGCTATCTGACATCTGTGACCTTGTTATTTAAGTGTAAACATTCAACATGAGTGTTCTTTATGCTTCTTTACAGAATCTGAAAGGTCTATTTCTTAATTCATCTAGTACTAAAGGAGGAAAATTCTAGGGTTTTGTTATCAGGATGTGGACACTTAGCTTGGGGGGTGGGGAATTTAGCTTGTGGCACACCTGACAAAAAGGTTGGCAACCACTGATTTAAGTCATGCTTTACTTGAATGGAGACTGGAATACATTATAATGTATGAATATGATATTAACAAAGTTCATAAAGCTTACATTTGCTGGATTGTAAGTGAAAGATTTAAACAATCTCGCATTTAAAACTGCTTTATTAAACAAACAGAAGTATTTCAGTTCTGAAATTCTTCTGTTTGTTTAATAAAGCAGTTTTAAATGTGAGGTATATTTAAACCTTTCTTATTCTTAGATTGGGAAAATAAAATAAAACTTACTTGCTTTTTCAACTCCCAAGTAAGTTTCTCAACTTCGAAGCCTTCTGCTAATCAATTTGAATTAGGTGCATAAAACTGAAGAAAATATTCTCTGCACCTCCAAATTAGCATGCTGTCAAAAAGAGACTAGCATTTCAACAAACTCAGGTTCCAGCTGCCTCATGAGTAACTTCTACCAGGTTAGTTGGTTGATTTTCTTTATAATTTCAGCAGCAAATATGAAAGATAGTGTTCAAATAAAACACTCCACTAAACAAGTTTTCTCACCCACCTGAAAAAAATGTTGTGGCAAGAACAGAACAGCAGAGGAACTGGTAGGTATACAAGTTGAACCACTATCTAAATACCCAGTTAGCACTTTGTTTAGATGTGAGCCAATGCTGCAGTACCAGGATGCTGGTTGTGGCTGGGAAGGTAGTCAGCAGGAGAGGAACTGTCAGCTATCTTTCATAGCGACACCATTGGCGAGGACATCTTCAGGAATGATACAAGGTGTCAGTTTCTCCAAAAATAATTCTGCTTCTGTATTAAGAATGCTCTTACAACTGTAAAGGTGGCCACCTAGAGCAGGAGATGACAACCTATGACCCCTGGAGCCATCTGATCTGGCTCTCAGATGTGCGGTTTTCGCATGCTGCCACTGGGAGAAGCAGCAGCAAGCGATCTCCCCATGTCACCACAGGGAAAAATGGCAGCAGCATCTGGGTCCTAGCACCAATCCACTGTTACCCAAACTGGGTCACTCTGGCCTGCAGCCTAAAGAGATTGCTGACCACTGATCTAGAATAACTGCTGAAGTGCACAGTTTTTCAGAGCACTGGTTTCACCATACCTGTAAGAACCCAGCCCAGTTTTCAACATAGCTAACTGATCTTCAGATACCTACAAGAGTAGCTTGGCCCCTATGCATGGCTTCAGAGCCAGCACTCACATGCTGGATTAGGCCCTACAACAGTCCAAGCACAGGTATGCTGGACTGGGCCTGGCCACTGATACTGGGACTGCATAGCAAGTCTGGGACCATACACTGACTCTGAAGCCACATGCATGGGCTTAGCATGTCAGGTCCCAGCCCAAAAGACAAGGTGTCGTCCTGGACTTTGTGCACCCAGACCTGACATGCGGCTCTGGAGCCACTGCAACATCCTGGAGTCACCATGTGCCATTCATGTCAGCATGCTGACATTAGGACAGCCTGACTGGGCCCAATCAGGCACTGAAGCCACATGGTGAGTCCAGGACACTGCACTGGCTCTGGGGCCACGTGCCAGGACTGGTTCCAGGAATACACACTGGTTCTAGAG